ATGTCATACTACACTTGGCTCCTCTGCTTCAGGCTGCAGGTTCTGCAAGCTCTGGGCTGGCTGCAGGCTCTGGGCTGGCTGCAGGGTCCGGGCTGGATGCAGGCTCCGGGCTGGCTGCAGGCCCTGGGACCAAGTCAGGTTCTGGGACTGGGACCGAGACTGGGTCTAGACAGGCTTCAGGTTCTGGGGTGTATTGTCTCATGGACCTGATCTCAATCAAAAGCTGGTGATATGTTGGAATAGAGGTGAGGCCGGGTATAGAAATTAACAGTCTCTCAGCTAACCTAAGAAGTGTGTCTGAACAGTCTGGGTAATCTTTAGCTGAAGTCAACAGGTTTTGGAGGGTGGTGTTTATGTGATAGATCTCAGAGGCGTCTATCACCCAAGACTTGTTTTCTTTGGTGACCTCTGCAGGAATGGTGTGGGACTGCTCTCCAGTGTGACCCCCCTTCATCAGGTCTTTAGACGAATGGGGGGTGGAGAGCGGGGTGACAGGACTGATCCTTGAGGGAGCTTGGTGCAGGAGTGAGGTGCCAGATTCCACCCTCACCGAAGTACTAGGAGGTGAGGCGTCCAGATCAGCTCTCTCAGCAGTACTGGAACCAGGTCTCGGAAACACAACCTCGTCAGACCAAGTTGGATCTGGAGTCGCTGTCAGGGATGTGGGCGAAGGTTTTGTGGATTGTTTCCGGTTTCGTCTTCTGCCGCCCCGGCAGCGACGGTGGGGAGAGGGGGCAGGAATGAGACAGAGCTCGTCCTCCAGCTCCGCCTCCTCCCCCGACGTCCACCCCGAGTAGCCGCTGGAGAAAATTTTGTCTCGGGTGCCCGGTGTTCTCCAAAGGGCAGAGACCTTCTCTCTTCCTCCAGAACCAGGAGAGGCGAAGACAAAACTTCAATTGCCGGGCAGTGACGACTTTGTGTTCGGATGGGTTCAGTTCGGAACCCACCACACTGGATTACAGGTTCCCCCATCTGTGACTCGTAACAGACAGGTGAGTAGTTCTGAGAGGAACCCTGCCCGCTGGGTTCTGTGTAGGTTACGTCTTTCTGTCATGGTTTATCAGGCAGGAACAAACCCATTAGATGCAGGCAGGGACTCGGACTCAGGAGATACAAAAATAAATACTTTTAATGATAATAAATTAAATAGCTGATGTGGCAGCACACTTACAAAACTGGGAATACAACTCAGGTCAGGACTGGAACACATCAGATCAGGACAAGATAGGGTAGACCCAAAGACGACGCGACAATGAACAAGACTAACAGACAGACTATATACCCAGACAAGACAGGATGTGATTACAAACAGCTGGCACGAGACAAGGGTGAAATTAATTGGATAAATGATGAGACACACAAGGGAGTACAGACAAGGAAGGCCCACAGATGGCGCCATCCTTACAAGGACAATGAAATTCATGATGAAAATGAAATTATAAATGGATTTAATCATTATTTTGTGAACGTTGGATCAAGCCTAGCAGCTAAAATACCAAAAGTAGACAATAACGTGAACCATTCAGTTATAGGTTGTGACAACAGTATTTTTCTTAATGGAACTGACAAAGAAAAAATAATGAATGTTGTAAAAAATCTTACAAATAAGAGATCAAAAGACTGGGTGGACATGGA